TCCTCTCCTAGAAAACTATCTGTAGTGCATGCTTTTTTAAAGGCAGTGTCAAAACAGTATACAGGATCTCATTTAATTCAATAATATATAGTGATTGGCACTTCTGAGGTTAGGACATGGAACACAGGAAGGTTAAGAAATCTTTAAGAGGCAAGAAAGGATTCAAAACTTTTCAAATTTTGCTCACTTTCTGCCACATGATACTTGTTATCCAGCCAGGTTTAGTTGTACATCTCTATTCTGGGCTCCTAGAATTGGCATTTGGCTTCAAAACTGTCAAAATATGGTAATATTGTAACATTTCAATGCTAGACACATACTTGGAAGTAGTATAGCATGGTAATTAAAAGCAAAGGCTTCAAAGTCAGACATTGTTACCACTGATTACCTCTGTGATTTTATACATGTCAATATCTGTGAAATATGGACCTACCTAATAGGACTGTAAGAAGTAGAGGTGACAATGTCCATAAAGCATTTGTACAATATGTGGTACATAGTAAGTAAGCACTCAGTAAATGGTAGGTGTTAATGTTGTAGTCTGGGATCTGAGTTTAATATGTAGAAAAAATAGTTTTTATAAACAAAATTTTAACCTCTATTTTAATGGAAACATATTTATGGTTAAAAAAAAAAATCAAAGCGCACATAGATGAATAAAAATTAAACCCTTCCCCCAACCCTGCACATACCTCTGAACTATCACCCTGTCCCGCAGACCCACTCCCAGAGATAACCAAGGTTGATCTTTAATCAGATCTATTTTCTGGATAAATAGGTGTGCAATGCAATTAACTCAGTCTCTTTATGTTTTAGAATCTAAAAGTGAAGGAAATATCAACAGTCCTAGTAAGAAATATCTCATTTTCTCAGATGATAAATGTCTGTTTCTGTAATACAGAAAAAGTGAGAAATTTATTTAAGGAACAAAGTTGCAAGAGTTTGTGGCATCATAATAAAGTATAATGTCATATCCAAATGCTTGTGTGTGTGGGGGGGTGGCAATTTGACTTTGTTTCTTAAGTAATCATTTTCAATTGTGTCTAGAGCCTGTGCTGTTTAGAACAGTGGTTCTCAACACTCTCAACCCATTTCTCCCTTTTTATAACAAATATTTTATAAAATCTTTATGCTATTCTGAATTAAGATTCATAATAAGATGTACCTGCACCCATTAAAAAAAAATCAGTATGATGTCCTGACTACAATATAATTAATAACAAAATTATATACATTTCAATATATAAATACTTAGATTATGCTAAAAGGCTTAATTAAGTAGACAGATACTTGTATTTATGCAAATTTTGAATTTAAGAGAAGATTGGAAGCTATTCAAGAATAAGAGAATGAAAGTGAAGAAATACAGTGGAAACTACATAAAAATTAATTTATTAAAACTTTCCAAAAATATTTTGTTTACATGTAAAACTGCTATAGGTTCTGGGTTTGACCACTATAAGTAGGTTTTTAACTTACCTGTATGTCTAGTAGTACAGGTGTGCAGGAAGTGAGTCGGTTTTTCATTATGCAAGACTGTCCTGAGTATTGCAGGATATCTAGCCCTTTGCCTCCACTCCATTGTTGTGAAAATCAAAAAAATACTCTGACAATTGTCCAAACTTCCTCTCAGGGCAATACTGCACCCTTGAGAACCACTATCTGCCTATCCATTTCCCCATATATGTATACATAATAACTGCCTGTTTTAACTATGGCAAGTAAATTGATAATATGAAGGCTTTTATAAAACTTACTGGCTATTTCTCTTGGCTTCACTTTTTTTTTTTTGACCAGTAAGGGGATCATTGCAACCCTCAGCACGGTGTGGTCTGCACCACGCTCAGCCAGTGAGTGCACTGGCCATCCCTATACAGGATCCAAACCCGTGGCCTCGGAGCTACCAGCGCCGCACTCTCCTGAGTGAGCCATGGGGCCGGCCCTCTTGGCTTCACTTTTTTTTTTTTGACCAGTAAGGGG